AACATACATTTTGTGTTAGTTATCCTATTGATAATTTCTCCCATCTCAGAGGCAAAACTCCTCAGCTCCTTCAAAGTTCCTGTTGGCCTCTTGGTTGCATTTCTGACTAACACCCTCCTTACCTGTTCACTGAGTTTTGGTTGACAGCCTTCTCTATGTAGAATTGAGGTTGAGTCATATGCTTTCCATTTTGTAATCATGGAATTAATGCTGCTCCGGGGTATATTAATTTGAGGTTTTTTTCCTAACCAAACCCTCATTGGTGCTTTATCCTGGAGATGTTTTTAGAGCTGCTCAGTCTAAACAGTGTTTAGATACAGCTTGCAACAAATTCTGGTGCCTTTCAGAAACTTATTTAATGAAAGGTCACTAGAATTGCACACTGGTAAAATCCATTCAAATGCTCACAGACTGTATTCATATGTCATGGCAAACAACTCAGCATATGGATTTCTGCCCAAAGTTACCAGTCAGATAACCATGTGATTATCCAGTTTCTGCTCCCCTTGATTCATCCTCCTGGCCTTGACATGCATTCCTGCAGCCCCAGTGAGAGAAAACCCTACCCTTTCCCCATTCTTCATTATAGACTGCAGCAGCCTCTTCCTTACATCCATCTGCCACACGAACTGTTTACTCCTGCTCTGCTTCAGCCAGTTCCACCAAGGATGGATCCACAAGTGGGCATTTCCTTTTCTTCCATGAGTGTTAGCAGCCTTTGGTGAGGGGCTCTGTTAAAAGGATAGGAGGTTAGTGAGCCATGGCTTAGTTTTGCAGAAGCCATATTAATTCATTTTCAGCAAGACTTGATGCTTGATGATTGCATCTTGATGATTGCATCTTAAAGCAATGATTTCCACCACTTTATCTGGAACAAACATTAAGCTAACCAGCCTGTGATTTCCCTGGATCCTCTTTTAGAACTGTTATTACACTGACAACTTTCCAGTTCTCAAATAAAGAAGCTGCTATTGCAGATGAGTTACATATTTTTGTAAGAAATACAGCAATTTCACTTTTGAGTTTCTTTAAAGACCCAAGTGGATATCATATAGGTTTGGTGATCTGTTCATTTTTCATTTGTCAATTAGGGCTAGAATTTCAGTATATGTCATGACAATTTACCACAAATTTTCAGAGCAAATCAGTTGAGACACAAATATGTGCATTATTTCTTTGGCGGTGAAAACAAACAAGGATAGGTTGCATCTGCTGCACTAAAATGTAACTTATGTTAAACCACAGTCCTAAAATCCCATGGGTATGCTGCATATAAATCCTACTCAGGTAGAATTGACTAGAACTGAAACATATCCTAAGGATTTGGTGGTGTGATTTCTTACAATTAATTGTGGAACTCAAAAATTTTCTTCCCATAATTCTAAAGCTATATTTGTTGCCCCAAATATAGATACTAGCTTAATATGTTGTTGCCCCACAGTAGAGCAGAAATTCCTCTGCAGGAGTGGTTTGGCAGTATATGCATATAATCAAATTTTCTACATAGCTCAGAGAGTGGGGCTTTGTCCAAAATATATTAATGCAGCAAATTTGTTTTCAAATGAGTGTATTAATATGCTCCCGAACTAGTCTCCTTATATTGTATTGACTATAAGGACTTAATTTTTCTATTGTTAGCTGTTAAAGTGCTTTATGAGGTCTAAGAATACAGACATGTATTCCATTTTGTTTTTTAATTCCTAAGGGAGCACATCTCTCTCATTTACTGTCCTGTCCCTGTCTTGACTGTAACTTGCAAATTAAGTGAAAGCAAATTAAGTTTGTAACTTGTGTATTGGAAAGCACTCTTCCAACACAATATTAAAACATTTGAATATGTGACTGGATCAAGAACAACCTGGCATACCGCATAAATGCTTCAATATAGCAAACCAAAGTAATGTTTTTCCATGCTTTTATCTTTGTTTGTTGAATGAGAGTCTAAATAACAGTCCTCAGTTGCTCAAAGGTTTGTTGCCTGAAGGGAACAATCCTACAGACCAAGACAGTGTTTGAGGAACCACAGATTCCCAGATCCAAGGTCAGAGACAGCACCCCACAGTTGGAGCTGGGAAGCAGAGTGTCAACTTTTCTCTCCTGTCTCCTCAAAGCCACTGCTGACTTTCTAAGACTGCAAAAACAACCTTAGAGAAGGAGACAACAGGGAATCTTGGGGGAGGGGAAATTAGTGGTATCAGGTATTCTGCAGTCACTGAAGCCCATCCATTTTCCAGCTAAATGAGGTGAAAAACAGTCTAACAGATGCAGAATGGCAGGTAAAGATGACATCCTCCATTCCTCCTGCTCTGCATAGGATGCTTGTGAGTTTGGGGCTTATGGGCATCACAGGACTACATCCTTGTTTTGAATGCTATCTACACCATTAAATAGAGAGGATAAGTGTACCCATCCTTTTGACAGGGAACCTGCCCCAATTTCCTGTTAAAATGTTTACCTTATCTCTTGAAAGAACGTATGATCTAGTAGATAGAATGTGGTATGGATATAAACAGAAGATAATGTAAATTTACATTTTTAACCAGCCATTGCTCAGTTAAAATGAAGTATGTAATTTGTGTCTTAAGCTAATAAGATTTAAACCTACTAGTTTAATAGCAGTAGCAATGGTAATTATGCCTGCAAACTAGACTCATTTAATTTGAAGTAAGTTTCATTGAATTTCCACAGTATTCATCTTGTGTAAAAAGAGAAGAGATGATAGAATGAAGTGAATGATATGTCAGCACAGCAAAGCTTTAACTAGTCATTCATTATACTTTGACATATTTACAGAAGGCTGCGTTGGCATAACAAATAAATTGGAGTGTCTTGCATAAGTTTTCAGTCCCCACCCCCTTTGACTTTTGAACATTTTATTGTGCTATAACCTATAATTAAAATGGATTTAATTGAAAGTGTTATGGAAGATACTCAACACTGTAAAGATACAAAGTATTATTATTATTACTATTATTATTTCTATACTGCCCAATAGCCAAAGCTCTCTGGGTGGTTCACAACTGCAGATAAATATAAGACACAATAACAGTAAAAAATAATAAAATACCATACGGAATTTAATAGTCAAATATAAAATCAACTTTTAAATAGCTACAGTAGCTTACACAAATTAAGTCAAAAGATCTGTTCAGCAGCTGACGTAATTCCCCAGGAAAATATAAACCAATTACATGCCCTGTCATAGACGATAGTCTTAATCTGTCATCCGAAAGATATCAAAGTTGGTACCAGGTAGGCCTCAGTAGGAAGCTTGTTCTAAATCTGGGGAGCTGCCACTGAAAAGGCCAGTGTCCTTGCCTGCCGCCACCAACTGAACCTCCCCTGGAGGTGGCCATCAAAGAAAGGCAAAAAAGGATGCAAAGAAGAAAAGATACACAGTTCCAAGGGTCCATGAAAAGGTTTGTTTTTGCCTTCAGGTGCCAAAAAAAATAATCCTCTTGTTACCAAATGATTTTTTTCTGCCTGAAAGAGGTTATTTCCAAAACATGTAAGGACAACTTTTTTTTTCATTCAGGACTTTTTATCATTTCTTTCCTCATTGTTTCCTTTTTTTACCCCTGGGCCTCCTCTTTGATAATTGGAGGCAAGTCCCAGATCTTGGTAATTCTGTATGGGCAAACTGTGAAGGGGAGGAGTGTTCCAAGCCATCTGGGGCTTTACAGGTTAAAACCTGCCCCTTGAATTAGTTCACATGGATGGACAGACAATGCAACTGGCCCAGATTGGACCATCTTGTCTGCTATTAATCCAACTGCTGCATTTTGCCCAAGCAATGCTACTGAACAGTTTTCAATGGCAGACCCACATGAAGTACATCGAAGTAATCTATACAAGACAGTGCCAGAGTGTAATTCAGGCTATCCCTATCTGGATAGTGTTGGAAATGAGAAAGATGGCTGCTCTGGACACAGATTCTCAAAGGCTGCTGGGTGGTCTCCAGAACAATCAGAATCAGAAGAAAGATTATTTAGGAGGTTGGAAGGTTGGGTCCAACCATGTCCTGTTTGAAGAACAGTACAAGTGAGAGGATGAAGCAGTTGCTCTTTTTCAGGGTGGCATCACCCTGTGGGAGAGGATGAACAGGCAGGTGGCTGCTCACATCTCTGGCACAATGGGTTCTAACCACTTCAGGTGGAGCCACTGCAATGTGACTTAAGTTGGACTAACACTGGATATAACCCAGTCTTCCCTGCTGCAGTGCACAGACCAGGTAAGAGCACAGGGGTAAGGATAGCTGCTACCCTTCTGTATTTTTACATTGCATTTCTATCCTGTCTGTTTTAATTTTTGAGGAGACCCATAGTGGCTCACATAAGCCTCCTCCTCTCCCTTGCTCATCACAACAACCCTGTGCAGTAGATTGGAGACTAGAAGTGGCAGAAGTGACCCTGGGGAAAGATTCAAGGCCCTTCTGGCTGGGAGTCCTTTGCTCTTTTGCAGATTTTTTTTTTTTTTTTTTGAGAGCAAGAGAAATTCGCGTTTGCATTTACTGAGTGATTCACCATCCTCGCCAGAAGTGATTTTTATTTTGATAGAAAAATCTTAACGTTAAACCCCTTTTCAAATAGGGATTAGGCCTAAGGCAGGACCCAGATATTCTCATTTTAGAGCGAAAACAAACATGGATTTAAATCCATGTATCTAGCGGTGCTCTCCCCGTTTTTGGCTCTAGTTATGTGGGCAGAAGGCCCCGATCCATACTGGGACCCTGAGATGGGGTCTTACGGGCGGGATTGCCTTTCTCCTCCGGAGTCAAAGTAATAGGGCAGCTGGAAAGGAATGTCTGTTGTGGCCCATCACATCCACGATGCAGTGTCACTCTTTGCTGCCACAAGCCTGAAAGTTTTCTGCGGAAACGGGAAAGCAGCGAGAGGCGGGCGCGAGCAAGGCCGAGCCTGGGGCTTGCGCGGCGGGGTGGGGAGCGAAACTTGCGTCCAAGTTTGAAGGGACTTCCCGCTCTGGGAGGCTCCGTCTGGCCCGGGCAAGAAGCTGCCTGGGGGGCGGAGTGCTGCAGCTGCGAGAGGAGCTAGCGGGAGGGAAGGAGGAGGTGGCCGCCCGGAAGGGAGACGGTGGGGAAGTAGCTGCACAGAGAAGAGCTTCTGGACCGTCCGTCCCGTCCCATCCCTTTCTCTCAAGCGGGCACGGCGCGGCAAGACTTGCTCTACTGACCCGTCCCGCCGAGGAAATGCAAAGGTAAGGGCGCCAAAGTTTTGCGTTTTCGTGGAGGCAATGGGTGTTTTCCACGCCTCTTGTGCCTCCAGAGGCCCGAGGCTCGGGCTTTATTTGCGGTTTCCTCGACAGGGATCTCTTCTTTCTTTACCTCGCCTGCCCGTTGGGGCGAAATCCGAAAACGACCGCAAAGAGGGTCACGCTTTAGCAAGCGGGAAGGGAGGCCGGAGCGGCGCTGCCCTGCTCGGGTTGCGGAGCTGAGGCTTCTTTGGTGGCGGCGCATCTCCTGGCGAGCCAGACCGGCGCGTGCGTCAGCGCACGCGAATCCTCCTGAAAGGCTTCATTTGTTTGTTCCTCCAGGGTCGTGTGTTAAGCCCTGTGGAAAGGGGAGGTGTACGCTCTTTATTACTTGGAGGAGAGAGCTGGCAGATGTCCCAAGCGAGAGAACCTCTTCCTCCGGGGCCTGAAGGGCCAGAGCGTGCAGCTCCTGCAGAAAGCAGCCTTTTGATCTCACTCCCTCGAGGTAAGTGGCTCCAAAGTTTCTTTGGAAGCGCAGAAAACACGGCTGAACAGCTGAAATGATACACCCGTAACTGGGCTTTATGCATGGGGTTTGTGGAGGATGGGGGTTGCCTTCTCCATATCATACCCCCCCACACACACACATGCAGGCACATTTCACTTCCTGTCGGGGAGGGGAGAGTTCTTAAAAGCAGCCACAAAATGATACATTCGTGTCTCATCACTTCCTTTTTCTTCTCCAGTTCAAAACACTAGGTAAACCTTCCCCAACCTGGTGCTCTCCAGATGTTTGGGACAGTAGGTCTCATCTATGACAGGTGGCTGAGACTGATGGGAATTGTGGTCCAAAACAACTGGAGGGCACCAGGTTGGGTAAGATTTTACTAGATGCATTCAGGAAGATACCGCTACTCTTATTGCCCTGTTTTCCTGGCCCTTTGCTTTTGACACACCTCCCAAATTCCTGAGCAGGCTGAAGAATGCAGAAGTAATGTGTACTCAGCCTCATTCACCTTACAAGTCAGCTGCAGTTCTTTCAAAGTTTTGGAGTGGGTTGCTGCTTGATCTTCCCCCACTGCCCCATATCTGCAAGTGTTTACATAGGTAGCTGCTCCAACCCATTTTAATTTCCTGTTTGTGCAGTAGAATGTGTGTGAAGGGTTGCTTAACGTTGCCTGTTATGTTAACTTGTCATAAGATTGAAGGAGGCAAGGGATATTGGAGAATTGCCATGTGAATTCATTCTTCTTTATCTGAAGTGCTCTGTGCTGGATCCCCCTTGGGGTGATTCCCTTCTCTCTAAATTAAAATAAGTTTAGGTCCGTCTTTCATTTTTAAGTTAGTGTATAGTAGTTCTGCCATTTCTTGATTTTTTACAATCAGCAATTTTCATTTAAAGGATATTAATGGCTACAAAATATTATTTGATGACCAAAGAAATGCATGGTGATATTGTTGCAGCCACAACCTAAACTTGCAAATGAATCTGAGTTACTAGAAATATCTGTAAAATAATAATAATAAATTATCTTGCTTGTGGAAGTGATTAATTGAATTTCCTTTCCATGTAGCTTTATGTAAACTTGCACTGTTAAAGAGTAGATGCAGAAACTAAATAACAGCCCAATGCAGACCCTGTTTGCTCAATAGTTTACCACTTAAGTGTGACTAGAACTTCAGTCCTATACACCAGTGCACTGTAAGTCTCATCAAACATAATGGGGTTTACTTCCAAGTTAAAAAGATGTCACAATATATTGCACAAAGAGCTGCAATAGAGAGTACTGCAACTGACTTTTTATGGCTATGATTATGGGCCAGAATTAGTAGCATGGCTTGCAGCCACATCATGGTATTTTAAGAATTAAATCCCAGTTACAGAAGGGGAATTTCAGGTGGGACCATCGCTCATGGGAAAGAGTGATGTAAGCCTTCCCTGTGTAGCTGTAGTCTTGATGAAATGCCCCCCCCCCCCCGCCCATGACTGCTCTTTTTCGGTTGCTGTGGGTAGTGCTTGTGGGGGCAGCTTTTATTGGATTGTGGCTGCAGAGACAATGTCCTGGGTAGTTATGCCCTAAGCATGCTTTTACTGATTTGTCTAGTACTCTAGCTGCACCTCTTCCTGGCAAATTTGGGGCTCACCATAGTCATTCATGCTCTGATGTTCTCCAGCCTGCTCTACAGTAATATACTCTACAAGGGACAGTGATACACTCTACAAGGGTAGAGTGCATCTGAAAAATGCAAAATGTTGCTCCCATGTTATTGTCTGGTGTTAGCCATTGTGAGCATATTGATATTATTACATTTGTACTTTTTTATCTGTTTGATTTTTTTCTGAATTGGTTTGAAGTGCTGTTGTTGACTTCTTTAAATGGCTTGGAATCAGGGTCTCCGAAGGATCTTCTGCTTCCATTCATGCTTCCACTTGTGTTTCATAGCTGAAGGCTTGTTTGGGGAAGTTTGCTGAATGTCCTCCAGGACCAGGCCTTTTTCATTGGTGGTGGTATCATTCTATCAGAATGTCTTTCCCAGAGTGCTTTGTGGGCCCTGTAACTGTAAACGTTAAGATACTGGGACAAAACTTGATTTCACTGCTATTTCTGTTGGCTTCCTTTCTTTTAACTTGTGGTGGTGTTATGCATTATGCATATTTTTCTCTACTAAGGGGTATTTTCTATGTTTTATTTTCCTGCTGCCGTTTTGAATTTTTGCATTCATTGTTTTTATTGTGTCCCTTCTTGATTTTAAAATACATTATTTGCTTCTACATCACACAAATGATTTATTTGTGCTATAAGTAATTCTGTAGCAAAGTAAGCCAGCTGCCCTAACTTCTGCAACAGTTCATATTTTAGTACATATTTTTTTGGAATGTGTGGGTAATTCCTGTTCCTCCCTTTGTTTTTCACAGTTAATTTTTGTTTGTCCATTTCCTGGTCAATGCAGGCCTTACTAAATGCTGTATGATATGCTTTACTGGAAAAAGTGTGTTGTTCCTTGTTTCATGTGACTTAGTACTAAAATCTCTGCAAACATCAGCTCTTCTATAGGGTATTCTCTGTGTTAATGACGTACAGAGAGTTGTTCTTGATCCAATTTGGACATAGTGGCCACACAGAATCATAGAACAATAGGGTTGGAAGGGGCCAGAAGGCTACTTGATCCAACCCCCTGCTCAGTGCAGGATTCCAAATTAAACCTTCCTCTCTGATGGCTGTCCAGTTGCATCTTGAATGTCTCCAGTATGGGAGAGCCTACAACATCCCTAGGTAATTGGTTCCTTTGTCTTACTGCTCTAACAGCCAGGAAGTTTTTCCTGATATCTAGCCAAAATCTGGCTTCCTGCACCGTGAGCCCATCATTCATGTCCTTCACTCTGGGATGATGGAGAACAGGTCCATGTCCTGCACTCTGGGATGATGGAGAAGAGATTGAAAGGCTATCAAAGTACTTGAAGAGTATGATCATATCTCTTCCCAGTCTTCTCTTTTTTAGGCTAAACATGGCCAGTCCTTTCAATCTCTCCTCACAGGGCTTTGTTTGTCAGGTTCTCATGTCCCAATTATCCTGGGGCATGCATTTCCTGAGTTCTCATGAATGAAGTAGGAACTGCCTCCTCCAATGTACTGCTTGAATATGCTGCCTCCTATGTACTGCAGGAGCGAGGAGCTAAGTAACCCAGGGATAGAAGATGTTCCTCCATTGTGTAGAGGGCAGTTGGGTAGCAGGAACCAGCTCATCTGCTTACCCTTTCTTTGTTTGAAACAACCCTGAATTGTTGCAAAGTCCAAAGTATATCACTTTGTCAGCATGTGTCCTTATCTTAGAAGAAACTGGTCAGAGTTTCATAGGCTGAAACAGCTGTCCTGTTTCTATCAGCATATTGTTGTCTCATTATGTAAAACCCATAGAAGTGCAAACTGCTTAGTCACACCTAGACTATGTGCCTCCTACTTCAAATGTCATTCATTTCAGGAGGCCATTCGAACTCTGAATCGTTTAAAGTCTGAATCAACTTTCCTCATTAGAAATAATGGAAAGTGAATTAATCAGTTCCCAGACCCTAAACAATACAAATTTCAATAAACTTAAACAGCAATTTAAGGTAAAAATAACACATGCCAAAATTATTAATTTAAACTTGAAAACAATAAGATACGTAAATATGTACTGTATAATAAAATGAAAACTGCATTTACTGTATTGCACGAGCATTACGCAAGGGATGTTTCACAGCGAGAGATGACTTGGGTGCACAACAGATGACATTTATGCAGCGACCACATTTTTTCATTGCTCGTGCAGTTCGAATGTAGAAGCATCATGCAAACTTCAGAGCAATTTTGTTGTTTAGAGTCATTTGAACTACCAGTCACCACTGTATTGTGCACATGGCCAAAGGCTATTGTGTCATGTTTTTCAGGGCACCTCAACTGTGGAATGTTCTTGCCAGAAAGGTTCCCCTGGTGCCTGCCTTTTGAACACCAGGCAAAGACCTTTTCATTTTCTGCACCCTTTGAAAATGACATTTTAATCATGTTGACTGTCTTATGCTGTATTTATGTTTTTAGCTTATTATATATTTTCTTTTTTCTCCTCAAGAATAGAAATGTAGAGTGGATACAATTGAATAAGAATTACACATCCTCTGCCATAAAAGAAAGTCAGCCAATATAAAACCAGATGCAAGTCTATGTCTTTCTTACACCATAGATAAACTGCACTGGGACTTATTGATCACAGTATGTTTACGGATTTGATTCTAGTTCCTACCTGCTATATTTTAGTAACATTGCAGGACAGTATTTTACCCATTATTACAAAAAAGTGAAACTTCATGCAATTAGATAGCTATTCCTATACATACCAGTTTAAATAACAAACATTAATTAATTAAACCGCCAATGCACTCACAAGCAAGGAAGAAAATCCCTTTTACTTATATCTCGGTGGGAACTGCTCAGGTATGCAACAGAGGGCAAGATGACAGGTCCACTATCTTAGCCAGGTGGACACAAACCCTAATATGCAATGGTGAAAGAATAATTCAGGCTATCTAGTCTCTCTCTAAAGGAAATTGGATTCCCACCCAGTCACTTCCATTCAGTCAGCTACAGCAGAAGTGAACTTTGCAGGATTTACATTATTTCTGAAGAGCACCAATTAGCCAGGTGCTGAATAGTGGCTAAGGCAGGTGGACAGATGCTCAGAATTAAGGAACAGAGTAGTGCATATTCTATTTAGGAATTTGCTATTGGTAACAGAGCAGAGCTTGCAAGCTCCTTCAAATTTTCTCATAAGAATCAGTTCCTGGTTTTCTTTCATGTTTTCTCACTCTCTAACCTCCAGTAGCCTAATTTGGGACAGAAACATAGGTGCAAAACTTTTTAGTTGTTGCTATTGTTAGACAATTGGGAGCCTGACAATCTTGCTGATCTATTGCAAATTTCTCAGAGACCCCACTACTAGATCTTATTCTGCCTTCTGCTCATCACTGGG